TTAATGAACACAACCATGAATTGGTAGTTAAGGTTAAAATACCCGATTCATCAGATCTATAAAAGCAATAGGGGTATTAATTAACCCAAATGGCATACTAAAAACTCGTAATGCTCGTATAAAGTACGAAAAACATTCTTTGGGATACCAAAATCTTTCACCTTGAGTTCGTAATAACCAGACCTTAAGTCTATCTTCGAGAAGATGGAAGACCCATGAAACTGGTCAAACAGATCAGCGATCCTAGGCAAAGGATATTTGTTTTTAATTGTGAGCTTATTCAATTTTTTGTAATCAATACAAATTCTCAATATTATTGACAAAAATAACTGGAGCTCCCCACGACGAAACACTTGGTCGAATAAATCCTCTATCCAACAACTCCTAGAGTTTGACTTTTAGTTTCTTAAGCTCTTTTGGGGCCATATGATTAGGATCCATCGAAATCAAGGTGGAACCGTGGTCATGTTTTGTGAGTACTAAATATGGACGTGAAATATGTGCAAGTATACACAATCAAACAAATAATAAAGTGATGAGTGAGTATCGTCTCCACAGGGATTTCTAAAAATTACAAAGTTTAACCAAAGCAAAGCACTACTCTATCTAAGTATAGTTAGTAATGGTATGCATTAATAATGGATGTCAAGGAAATAAATATTGGTGTGGATTGAATGATGGTATGTTGTGGCAATAAATGGTAATTTTGAGGAAAAATGGATGTAAATGTAACGGCAACAGAGCAAATTGTAAGGTAAAAAATAATAATAGTACCAAGGCAGCACAAAATGGTAAAATCAACAAATAAATGAAATCACTTGACAATCCTCACAAGGGAAACTACTTCAAAAATGAGTGATGGGGAATGATTTAAGGGTGCTAAAACTTATCTCTTTAGAAGATTTAATCTATCTAAGCTTCACTTGCTCGACGAAGTTTGCTGAAAGTGCTCCTGCTATTTTTAGTCAAATGAACCTAATAGAATAGAATGCCACAACATGTCCACTTAGTATCAACTAAAGCAGCCTACGCTATTGATAAAAACTGCCCCTCTTAGTCGTATCTTAGTCTCTCCCAAGCACTAAGGGATTAGGATATAGAACTACTATACCGGGTTTAAGCTTAAGTAAACTACTACACCCTATTGCTTATGTGGATCTTACTTGTGTTTTTCTTGAATACTCCAAGCATTAATGACTAATTTTCTCTTGAACACCTAACCTTCTTCTAAGTAATAAAAACTCTCATACCTCCTACAAACATAGAAGATGAATTCTTCATAAGTAAACCAAGTAAATTCAAAATATAAACTTCAATATACCATTAAAACAAAATCAAGCATCCATAAAATCACCCCCACCAAATAAGGTTATTCATGGTGGGGCTCGAATATTCCATGAAATAAAACATGAAAATCATTCATTCCAAACAACCCAACTAAAATAAATCAAAGAAAACATCAAAGGGATGGAGGAAAAGCCTTCGACGCGTGCTTCTGGAGCTCCCCTCGGATAACACGAACCGTCTTAGATCACTAGCTCCTCTCGGACGCCTAGCTCGCCACTCCCCTCGAGCTTCACCAATGGAGGAACACCACTAAGAATATGGAGGGAAGAAAACAGTGGAGAAGATAAAGGAATTCAAGCTACCGAGTGTGAGTGTGTAACCTCTTTTCCTCTCTTATGTGAAGTTTATTAAATAATAAAAATATCTATGGGTATTCATGGAATTTAACACTCCAAAATACCCATCACACCTCTAGAGTCACTCCTTGGGCGTGATGTCTATCCTCACAGGTGGTAGTGGTCCCCAGGAAGAGGTTATAACCATTAGACCCGTGCCTAGCCAATTGTCAATTTTAACAATATCTTTTTGTCATTTTATGCACGAGAAATGCCAAGGCATTTCTATATGATTCACAACGTGTGATGCCACGACATTCCTTCCCAGCTCAGCCCTTTTCGTGTTGTTTTCTTGCACATCACTAAAAACCACACATTCCTCCTCATACAACACCTTAACAACATAAAATAACACAACCACCAAAAATACAATGATATGCATCTAGATGCGTCTAAAATGACCTAAATGAGCCCTTAAACAAACAATAACTTAAGTGAAAAGGCCTTGAAACTAGCCATTTTAGGGAGTTATCACACCCCCAAACTTATGTTATTGCTTGTCCTCAAGAAATAGATAGCAATTAACAAAAACATAATGTCATGGAAATTTTCAATAGCAAGATAGTCAAGAAAAAATCGAATTTCAACCCTAAAAAAATTAGGCTCCAACATACCAGAAATATCAAGAATTCAAGTACTTTTCCCTAGGCCAAGATTCCTTGTGGTAGTGTGTGTGTGCGTTATGGTATCCAATCTATACTTAACAAATTTAAGCAATTTCTAATTGAGTCCCCTAATTTTGCTCCGTCATCACTTATTCATTCATCACATTTATACTTCCTTTTTACTTAATATTTTTTTTAATGTTGCTACAAGGAGAATTAGCCCATCACACCTACCAGCCCACAATCTAGGTGAAAGGGAACATACCTTCCACCCCCAATCTAGTCAAGTAGAGTCATCATGTGACTGCTTTCATTCACTCATATATACATGGCTTTCTTTTACCAAAGAAAGTTCCAGGCACTGCCACGACAAAGAAGAGTATCCCTTTACAACTATACCGAAGCATTTATTTACAATTTCATAAATAAGGGAGTTCTCATTGATTTATCATTTCACCATAATACCAAATTTCAATGCCAAGGCTAACCAAAGTTCTTTCATAAAAATTTCCTAAATTTCTTAATTATATAGAGCATACGAATCTTGTATAAATAATTCACAAAGAATCAAGCCCTAAAGTTATTTCTTTCATTCTCAATAGTCATTTACATTTAATTTCTAGCCTTAAAGTTCATCATCATCAGGTATCACAAAAAAATTTCATCTAACTATCCTACCATTTACCGATGCCATGGTATATTGTTATGCTAATACTATTATGCATATGTTCTACCAAGAACACTACCTCCCTCAAACTTAAGGGAAGAATTGTCCTCATTGCTTAAAGAGAACTAATTAAGAAATGAAACTAAATGCATGCTATGAAATGAAAAAGGAATGCAAATGGAGGTACCTTATTTTTTCGATGGTGGTGTTGTAGTGGAGGTGGTAGTAGCTCCTCATCTTATCCTCTTGCGGAGTGGTGCAAGGATGGAATCAGAGGAAGTTGAATAATAATGGGTGGTATTAACACTTCTGACCATGGTCTTTGATGCTTAGTGAGAAGGAGAAAATTCAGGTGTAGGAACGAGAATTGGGTTTTTTCATCTGGTACCACCTGAGAGTCAGGATTCGAAAACTGTGGGGATTATGGAATTGTCTCATCAATAGCAGGGTTAATATCATCGGGCTCAGGAGATGCCTCAAAATTAACTGTTGGTAGAATTTCATCGGGGAACCCTAGGAAATTTTGTTCAATGCGAGGAAGCAATTCTTGAAATATGGCTTCTACCACATCATCCCTATGATTAACATAATCAAAGAAATTTTTTATATCACCATTTAAAGCATGGAAATTAGTATGTGTCTGCTGGATAACTTCTTCGAGAGCAAGCATTCTTGCCTCGGCATTGGATGGTGTATCATCCACATACTCTTCATTAATAGTTGCCTTAGACTTTGGGTTTTCCAAACCCAACAATAATGGTAATCTAGCCCTAGTTATACTCGAAACACCAGACAAAACTTCATCAAAAGAACTCTCACAAACTTTTTTCTTTCGACACAAAGCAGTAATAAGATTTGGAAAAACAAAAGCACTAGCTTTCTTACCTAAGTATTCGTACACTTGCTCAACAATAATTTTACCCACATCAGTAGAACGTGTGTCCATAATAAAATGTAAAAGAATTAACTTGAGGAGAGATACCATTGTGTTATGGGCAGTTGGCATGAGCTTATACTTCATGAAATGGTTCCAAAACTTTGCACGTGGTTGGAGACATTCCCGATTTACAAAGTAACGGTTGGTTTGTCGGCCGTTCCAAGTTGTGTTCAAAAAGCATAAATCCTCCAAGACTCCATCGTATGTGGCACTGTCGGTGTCTTTCTCAAATTTTACATGTTGATATTCAACACCCTGCAAATGAAAATACTTATTAATGGTAGACAATGTGAATCAAATGTATTTTCCTCGAACGTAAACTGCATGTTGGTCTGGTTTGGAAACATTCGCGTAGAACTCTTTCACTAACGATGCATTCATGAAACTGGGGTGCCTCGCAAACTTGTGCCACTTATGGGGTTCAATTATATCCATTATATCTGGTCTAAAACCACCATCTTGTTCATCAATGAAAATAAACCCTAACTCAAAGAAAAGCTTACAGTTTTTGAAGTTTTGAAATCTTTGTTTTACCGCGTTATCAACGAACTATTGTAAAATATGGGTTTCATCCTCCGTAGGTCTCGTTCGTATCATTTTTGTGTCGATTTGAGAGTAAAATGAAGAAAAGTTTAAAGATTTGTTTGGCTTCAATGGCGTTGGATATAGAGGAAAATGAGAGAAGAAAGAGATAAAGAAAAAGAAGAAGTTAAAGCAATAATAAGAGAGATGAAGTGAGTGGACGGTTAAGAGAAAATCAATGGATATGGGTAAATGGGTAGGTGGGGAAAAGAAAAAGTAAACTGTAAAATTAATGTGATGTGAAAGGTCAATAGACAGAGAAGTAAAAAAATAAGGAAATAAAATAAAAGAAATGAACAAAGTAAAAAGAATATTTCCCCCTTATTTTTTTTTTTATTTTCCTCCCTTGATAACCGCTTCTTCATACAACATCAGTACTAGTGGGTCCCTGTAATACAAAACAAATTTTAATTATTCAGGAAAAATAAATAAAAATAAAAATGACAATGAAAAATAAATTCATTATTTATGCACAATCAACGGAATTTAATGTCGTGCATTGAAATTTGGGGTTTGAGCAGGCACACTCAAGCGTTTTGCAAGTAAAGAGCTGACTTATCGCACACAGGTGAAGCTCCATTGCAAATTTTTAGATGTTGGCCGTTGACTTTAAAGATTGTCCCATCATCTATGTTGTTAATGTCAACTGCTCCACGGGGATAAACATAATGCACCTCAAATGGTCCTGACCATTGAGATTTGAGTTTCCCAGGAAAAAAGTTTAAGACTGGAATTGTAAGAAACACTTGTTTACCAATATGAAAATATCGTGGCATCAGTTTTTGGTCATGCCACTTCTTTGTCTTTTCCTTGTATATCCTCGCATTCTCATATGAATGTGTCGTAAACTCTTCTAACTCATTAAGTTCTAGTAATCTCTGTTCCCCAGCTAACTGAGCATCAAAATTCAATCTTTTAATAGCCCAATACGCCTTATGTTCAAGCTCAAGAAGGAGGTGGTAGGCTTTACCAAACACCAACTTGAATGGTAACATGCCTAGAGGAGTCTTAAACGATGTTCTATACACCCAAATTGCTTCATCTAAATTTGGTAACCAATCATTCCGCCTTGGATTCACCACTTTTTCTAAAATCTGTTTTATTCCACAATTGTATATTTTAGCTTGACCATTTGTCTATGGATGATATGTCATGGAAATATTGTGACAGACTCCATACCTCCTTAATACCTTGGCAGTCAACTTGTTATCAAAGTGGGTTCCCTCATCACTAATGATGGCTCTAGGGACTCCAAACCAAGTGAAGATGTTCATGTGTAAAAACTTGAGCATGATGTCATAATTTCCTCCACCCACTTGGATACATAATCCAAAGCAAGTAAGATGTATATATCACCTCCAGAAGATGAGAATGGTCAAGCGGAATCAATGCCCCAAACGTCAAACAACTCAATTTCCAAAATGCCTTGCAGTAGCATTTGATGTCGCTGGGATATGTTTCTAGTGCGTTGGCATTGATCGCATGAGTTGTAAAATGCCTGAGCATCTTTGAACAAAGTTGGCCAATTAAAACTTGGCTGTAAAAACTTGGCAGCAGGCATTGCTCCTCCAAAATGGCCTCCACTAGGTGTTGTGTTACAATGGTATAAAATGTCTTGTTGCTCCTCTTCAAGTACACATCGTCTAATGAGCTGATCAACACAGTGCTTGAATAAATATGGCTCGTCCAAAAAATAGAACCTTATATAATGCTTGAATTTTTTCTTGCCCTGGCTTTTTAAATTAACAAGGTCAGTGTACCACGGGATTATCGTGGCATATAACATTTTCTCATCAAGAAATTCTTCTTGAATATCTACAGTGTCATGTAATTCAAAATAGTTCTCTAGCTTAGATAAATGATCAACAACTTGGTTATCAATACTTTTTCTATCTACAACCTTTAAGTTAAATTCCTGCAAAAGTAAGATCCACCTAATAAGTCTAGGCTTGACATTATTTTTGTTCACTAAATATTTTATAGCTGAATGATCAGTGTGAACAATAACTTTAGTTCCTATTAGGTGTGGTCTAAATTTATCAAAAGAAAATAGCAAGACAAGTAATTCTTTCTCAGTGGTTGTGTAGTTTAATTGTTCTTATAACATGAAAAAGTTTACGTCGACGTTGCCCCAAAACAGCTCCTACGACATAGTCGTTCACATCACACATCAGCTCAAATGGTGATGTCCAATTCGGGAGGAACTACAATGGGTGATGAGATCAATCATTGCTTTAGCTCAGTTAATGCATCGAGGCATAACTCGTCAAACACAAAGGGTTGGTTTTGTTGAAACAAAGTACATAAGGGCTTAGAGATTTTGAAGAATTTCCTGATAAATCTTCTATAAAAACTAGCATGTCCAAGAAAACTCCTTATGCCCTTGACAGAGGTTGGCGGTGACAATTTTTCAGTAACTTCAATTTTTGCTTTATCCACCTCAATGCCCTTGTGAGATATCTTGTGCCCTAATACAATGCATTATATCACCATAAAGTGATATTTCTTCCAATTTAAGACCAAATCAGTCTCCTCACATCTTTTGAGAACTTTTTCCAGGTTGCCAAGGCATAGCTCAAAATCATCTCTAGAAACAGAGAAATCATCCATGAATATCTCAAGGAAGTCCTCAACCATATCATAAAAATTACTTTTATGCAACTCTAAAATGTTGTCGGGGCATTACAAAGTCCAAAAGGCATCCTCCTAAAAGAAAAAGTGCTATAGAGACAAGTGAATGTTGTCTTCTCCTAGTCCTCTAGTGTGATGGCAATTTGATTGTACCCATAATACCCATCTAAAAAGTAGTAGAAAGCTTTACCTGCCAATCGATCTAACATTTGGTTGATGAAGTGTATAGGAAAATGGTCATTCGTTGTAGCTTTGTTAAGCTTACAATAATCCATACATATCCTCTATTCAGTGACAGTGCGAGTGGGCAGTAGCTCATTATCTTCATTGGTAACCATAGTCGTGTCACCTTTCTTTGGTACACATTGGACAGGGCTCGCCCATAAGTTATTTGATATAGGGTAAATCACTCTAATATCAAGCCATTTCAGAATTTCTTTCATTACCACTTTCTTCATAACAGGGTTGAGTATTCGTTGTAGTTCTATCGAGTTGCTATGACATTTTTCTAGTAGGATCTTGTGCATGCAATTCGTGGGAATAATTCCCTTAAAATTAGCCATAGTCCAACCAAGTGTTTTCTTATACCACATCAACACACTTAACAAACTTTGCTCTTGGTTAGTAGTAAGGTTACAGGAAATAATCATAGGTAAATTATTATTGTTACCAAATAAACATATTTAAGATGCCCTGGAAATGGTTTAAGCTCTAGGGTAGGTGCATGCAATAACGATGGCTTAGGAGGAATAAATTCATCAAAATTCAATGATCCAAAGTTCATACCTGATCTAGCTAGTAGTAAACTAGATTTTTCTACCCCGATTGTAAATTTTTCATAGTCCTCTAAGCTTTCATCATCAATGAAACATTCCTTGTCTGTTAGCTGAATGAAATTGTTCTAGAAAAGGTGTTTGATTTCTTCTTCAATTAATAAGTTCAATTCAGATATTTCTTGGCATTCTTTAGGGTCATCAGAATACTTGAGAGTACAAAACACATTGACATTCACACACTGATCGACCACTCTCATGGTGAGTTAACCCTTTTCGCAATCTATCAAAATACGATCAGTAGCTAGAAAAGGTACCCAAAATGATGGGTGCCTTGGCATCAACATCACAATCAAGAATAAGGAAATCAACTGGAAACACAAATTTATCCACCTTTACTATGACATCCTTGACTCTCCCTTCAGGTCTAACATGGGATTGGTCGGCAAGTTGTAAAATCACAGAGGTGGGTCTCACATTTCCTATGTCAAGCTTCAAGAATATGAACTTCGACATTAAGTTCACACTTGAACTAAGATCACATAATGCCTATCTAAAAAAATTAGCTCCTATAGAACAGGGAATAATGAAGTTACCCGGATCATTTTACTTTGGTGGCAACTTACTTAATGAAGAGAAAAATTTTGTTGTCATGGAAATTGTCTCATACTTCTCCACTTTCCTTTTCTTGGTGCAAATTTCCTTAAGAAATTTGGCATACGTCGACATATGTTCAATAGCTTTCAAGAAAGGTCCATTGATATGGAGCTGATCAAGAATGCCTACAAACTTCTTGAACTAAACTTCATCATTATGCTTCTTCAGTCTTTGTGGGAATGGTGGAGGGGGTTTAGCTTCCTTACATACGGGAGTCAAAATTACTTTTGCCTTGGTATCATAATTTTAATCTTCTGCAGGCTCACTAGTAGAACAATCCTCCTTGTTCTTCTTGGTAATGATATCATCGTGTAATTCAACTTCAACTTGTTTGAAAATAGGGGTATAAATACCATGTTGCGTCCCCCTAACCTTGACTTGTTGGTTAATTTTCGTTCCACTCCTAAGAGTAAGCACATTGCATTGTTTATTTCCATGCATTTTAGTGACTTCAGTGTCACTTAGTAAATGTCCTTGCTGATGCTCTTGTAATGTCGCAACAATCTAACCAACTTGACCTTCCAAAGCTCTCAAAGATGAGCTATGGCTTTGAAGTAAGGCTTCTTGACTATGAAGCAAAGATCCTTGATTTTTAATAGAAGTAGAATGATATTACAGGATTGTCTTTGTGGTAGATATAAAATCTTGAATTATAGCTTCCAAAGAACTCATGCTCACTAGAGATGAAGATCCTTTGTTAGCATTATGCCATGGCATAGTGTTTTGATAGCCTTGAGATCCAGTGTGATTCTACTGACGAGTAGGTTGACTAGCATTATGAGCTCCTTGATTACCCCATAAGAAATTGGGATGCTGACGCCATCCTGCATTATAAGTGTTAGAATAGTTATTGTTATTATTTATATTAAAATTACCTACAAAGTTGATAGACTCATGATTGAATGGCCATTTGCTCTTGTGGTGATTGCCTTGGCATAACAGACATGCCAAGCTAGTTTCTTTCACTTCCTTTACCTCAGTGGAACGTTGTAAATTTTTTAGCATATTATTAATAGTCGAGAGTTGAGCGGACATCGAGTCGTTGGTATCTAACTCGAATGTTCCAGGTTCTTTCCTCTCACTCCCAAGCCTTGAGGAAGGAAATTGATAGTCATTGTTGGCAATTCTATCCAAAATAGCAAACACCACAATAGGTGATTTATCCAGCAATGTCTCATTTGCCGAGGTATCAAGCATCATCTTCGTGGTTGCATTGACTCCATTATAAAACATAACTACTTGAGTCCAATCATGAAAACCATGATTTGAGCATTTTCGAAGCAAACTCTTATAACTATCCTAACAATCATACATAGATTTGTCTTCGCCCTGGCGAAAGGATGTTATATCATTCCTTAGCTGAGTATTCATGGTTTGGTGGGTTATATCGCAATAAGAAACTCTTGTAAAGATCGACCCATGATTCCATCGAACCGGATGGAACACCACTCAACCAATCCCTTGCTCGGTCACGCAAAGAATATGGAAACACTTTTAATTTCAACACATCGTCGTGCACTTCTTCTTAGCAAAAAGAATCACAAACCTCCAAAAAGTTATGAATATGTTGCATGGCATCTTTAGTTGGCATGCCCCAAAATGTCCTATGGAATTCAACATATTAAACATGACTGGTATAAGCTCAAAATGTGCATCTTGAATTTTGGGTGCCACAATTCTAGGATTCAAATCATCTAGCATCGGATTTTAATGATCATGAATAACACAAAGCATATCACTAGGTCCAACATTTTGTAATACCTTGTCATTATGATTTCTGTCATCTTGACCAATACCCTGGTTCCCAATTTGATATATATTTTCTTGAGCACGATGAGCTAGTATTCTTTGCCTAAAAGGTCTCTCAATCTCAGGTTCAATCAATTACAATGGCTCATTAGAATGTCTTCTAGGCATACACCAAATAAGCCTGAAAAAGAATAAAATAAATATAAACTATACAAAAATAAAGAAGCAAAAATAAAATGCTCTGGCAAAACTAAATAACTTCACGTTGCCAATCCCAGGAAACAACGCCAAAAACTTATTCACGTTTTGTGAGTACTAAATATGGACGTGCAATATGTAAAAGTATACACAATTGAACAGGTAATAAATTGATGGAGGAAAAAGCCTTCGACGTGCGCTGCTGGAGCTCCCCTCGGATAACACGAACCATCTTAGATCGCTCGCTCCTCTAAGACGCCTAGCTT